CTAAACCACTCTAGAGCTGGGCCTCGTAACAGTGTTGCTGCGAGCCGTATGCGCAATGCGTCTTGGTTGAGGGTCGTGCATCCAACGGCTTCGAAGAAATTTTATAATACAGCTACAAATCGACAGACGTCGCTCCCTTTCGCTCTAGGATCGAACGCGTCTGGTCGCCTCGGCTTTACTGCTTCGAGATTAAATGTAGCTGCTGCCGTTGTCGCAGGTACAATTATCGGTGTCGCCGTCGTCGCTTCTGCTGCTGCTGCGGCTACCGATTGGTTCGCAAGGAGTTTTTCGAGTCGTGGGAGCGCCGCAAATATCTGCTTATGCTCAGCACGTAACTCTGTGATTTTTCGTATAAAGAAATCTCTATTTCCCTCCCTATTGGCGATTTACAGAAAGATGCGCGACAAAACTAATTGAATTTCGGGTGCTGGTCGACTTACTGCGAGTCGAATCGACTGTAGAATCGACGAGCTCGAATTCTGTACATCGCGGTAATCTCTCCTAAGCGAAATTCGCGTCCGATCTCGGCCGTTGAGGAGAAACTCGATCTGACGGTCGAAATTCCAACTTTTTCACCAATATTCCTGAGGGGTGTTCAAAACCGAATCGAGGGGGACTTAGAAAAAATCGCGCGGAACTGGTTTTACATACCCGTATCGGCGCGTCCGTTGTCGCCCCCACAGTTTTTAAAGGCCGGAACTACGCGGTTGAAGACCTCGCGTGTAAACCCGCTCTGATTACCAAAAGAGAGGATCTGGTTCAGGAAAGATTGAACTACTCCATGATGCACCTGGGTACAAGGTGAGGCTTTATATAGGCTCGACACAAAGGCAGTAACCCGGGTGTTACTAGAAGGTTCCGCGGGTCGCGAAGCGTCCCGAACGGGTCCTTCCCGAATTCGGTAGAGGCAATTCGGTGGCAACCGAAAAGCCTAGAATTCGGTGCACTCAACCTAGTTCGGTGCCTATAACTATAATAAATATAGTAAAGCAACGAACCTAGGAAATCTAGCAAAGGCAAGCAAAATAAAGCAAAGCTAAGCTAGATAATGCATAATAAAGCATAATCAAGCTAGTAAATCATAGCAAAGCCGTCGAACTCTCACAATGGGCCTCGCCGACCAAGTGGATGACATGTCGGAAGCTGAACGGTTGGATAAATACATCAGCGGCCTTAAATACGAGATACAGTACGAGGTTCGCAGGGGCCGCCCGACATCGTTTCTTGAAGCTGTACGGCTGGCAGAGTCAACGGATGCGCTGATGCAGTACGCGAGAGCAGCTTCCAGGGATGGGAGAAGCTTTCGTGGCCAGACCCATCGGGCCACGATCAATGCCGTCCATACACCCGACCAACCTCCTAGGGGTCCGTGTTTTCGGTGTGGGAAGGTGGGCCACTACAAGAAAGGCTGCTGGGAGAAAATGCCGCTGACAGGGGACGACAGGAAGGAGCAGGGAAATGGGAAGAGTCAGTAATTAGCGGGAACTTTACTGACTGTGCTCCGTCGCCCGAACACCACCATCCCCACCGAGTCGTGGTTCCGATTCATGCAATCGATCGCACTCGGCCGAATAACGGGGATAATCATGTGGATCACCCTGTGCTGGTCGCTGGCAAGGTGTTTAAAAAAAAATAATTTGAAAATGTTCGTCGATGGGGGGGCCAGCCATAGCCTCTTCAACTTGGCGAGCGCAAAAAGATGCAAGCTGCAACTTGACAGGTGTCTGCCCGAAATCGACGCTCGCCTCGTGGATGGGACGCCTCTGGCGATAACGGAAGAAACGCGGACGGTAAGGATTGAATGCGGCGACGATTTCGGCTTCAGCATGAAGTTCCTCGCGACGACGCTGGATGGCTGCGACGTGCTGCTCGGGCGCGATTGGCTGCGACGACACAATCCCATCATCGACTGGACAACGGGATCGTGCTGCATCAGCAAGCACGGGGGGCTAATTAAGCTGCCTGGATAGACACCTGACTACATCCAAGCCCCGTGCGTCAAAGCCATCACTATAGCTCGCCACTTCAACAGGGGTGCGCAGCTGTTCGCCGTCTGTTTGCGACAGTTGGCAGTTGACACCGACGGAAAGGACATCGAGAAGCTGTGTGCAGCTGTCCCTCCGGATTTAGCGGAGCTGATTCGACAGTACCCCGACATTTTCCCGGACGATCTGCCACCTGGGCTGCCACCCGAGAGACCCGAAGACCATAAAATCCAGCTGGAACCTGGCGCGCAACCTACTGTTCGGACACAGTGGCGGTTGACCCAGCCGGAACTCGAGGAGCTGCGCCGACAAATTGACGCACTGTTGGAGAAAGGGTTCATTCGGCCAAGCACCTCCCCGTTCGCGGCACCGATCCTGTTCACTCCGAAGAAGGACGGCGGGCTTCGCATGTGCATCGATTATCGCGAGTTTGAACCGGGTGACCATCAAGTCTCGCTACCCAATCCCACGCACCGACGACCTTCTCGACCAACTTCGCGGCGCTCGCTACTTCTCGAAAATCGACTTACGTGGCGGTTACCACCAGATTCGGGTCTTCGCCGACGATTGTCACAAGACCGCGTTTCGCACACGCTACGGCAGTTACGAGTTCACAGTGATGCCTTTCGGCCTCACGAACGCGCCTTCGACATTTCAACTCACCATGAACAGGGTTTTTCGGGATCTTCTAGACCGATGTGTCATCGTCTATTTGGACGATATCCTGATTTTTAGCAAGACACGGGAGCAGCATCTCCGCGACCTGGACGCAGTGTTTAAGCGGCTGCAGGAGAACCGACTCATCACCAAGGGCTCTAAGTGCGAGTTTTTTAAGCAGGAGATGGAGTTTTTGGGGCACGTAATTTTCCGCGACGGCATTAAAATTGGCCCGGCGAAAATCAAGACCATACAGGAGTGGAAGACCCGACTAATGTCACGGAGCTTCAGAGTTTTCTGGGGTTTGTGAATTACGTCCGGCGGTTCATCGCGAATATGGCGGGGATAACTGGCCCACTGACCGACCTGCTGCACAAGGACAAGAATTTCGTATGGGGGGGGGAGGCAAAGGCGGCTTTCTAGGAGTTCAAGAATTTTCTCGTTTCCCCTCCTGTGCTGCGCATCGCCGACCCATCGAAGCCGTTCGAAGTCGTAACCGACGCCTCTGATTTCGCCATCGGAGCAGTGCTTCTCCAGGATTTCGGGAACGGGCTGCAGCCGATCGCCTACGAATCACGCAAGCTGCAAGCTGCCGAGCGCAACTACCCGATCCACGACAAGGAGATGCTCGCCATAATTCACGCGTTTAAACTGTGGCGCTGCTACTTGGTGGGCGCCGACGTCACTGTGCGCACGGACCACAAGTCCCTACAGTACCTGCGAGCTCAGCCCAACCTCAACCCGCGACAAATTCGGTGGCTGGATTACATGGAGAGCCACTTCACCTACCACATCATGTATAAGAAAGGGGCGAAAAACATCTCCGACGCCCTGACCAGACCGACCGTACAATCCGCTGCTGTACTGATAACCCATTCGAACCCACTACTTACAGGGCTATTCACCCACGGCTACACTACGGACCCGTTCTTCACGACAGGAAATCATCAGCAGGCCACGACGCAGAAGGGGGATTATTACCTAAAGGCTGGAACCGACAGGATTTGGGTCCCCGCTTACCGGCTGCTGCGTGAACTCCTCATCCAGGAGGTCCACGATTCGAACTACTCCGGACACTTTGGGGTTGATAAAACCCAGAAATTACTGCACCGTCAATATTACTGGCCTGATTCTTCTAACGACGTGCAGCGCTATGTGTCCTCATGCAGGGTGTGCCAAGCAATGAAATCGACACGTCAGCGACCAGCTGGGCTGCTGCAACCCCTCGAGCCACCCGAAAGACCTGTCAAACATTATATGTGTTGTGTTTGTGTAGGCTGTAGTGGGTTAGCCTATAGGGGGGTCACAACATTAGGGTTTCATATTTGTACTCACAATCCTTTCTAGTTCACCATTCCAGTCCGTTATCACTGACATGGTTTCAGAGCAGGTCCGTCGCTAGGACTGTTCTTAGGGCCCACCTACCTACCTACCTACCTACCTACTGTGCGCCTCGTGCGCCTGCGCGTCCTAGAGCGCTCCTTACCTACCTACCACGCGCACGCAGCTCGCTAGCCGCCCGCGCGTGGCTTTCCTTTTTTTTTACCGCGCGCGCCGTACTAGCCGCTCGCGCGCGGCCGTTTTCACGCGTGCGCCCCGCCAGCTAGCCGCGCACGCGCTGCCTCCCCGCTGCCCGCGCGCCTTTGCGCTGCTGCCCGTGCGCCTCGTGGCCTCGCGCACTGCCCGCCGCTGCCCTGTGCGCCACGCTGACGCACCCGCTGCTGCAGCCGCCCGTCGCCTGCTCGCGCACGCCCCGCAGGCCCGCAGCCCGCCGTCGCAGAGGCCGCACGTCCGCAGCCTACTGCCCGTCGCCTGCTCGCGCACGCCCCGCAGCCGCCCGTCGCCTGCTCGCGCACGCCCCGCTGCCCGCAGCCGCCCGTGCGCCGCTGCCACTGCCGCACGTGCGCATACGCAGCTGCCGCCCGTGCGCTGCTTCCGCTGCTGCTTGCGCACCGCCGCCTCCTGCCGTCGCCGCACGTGCACTGCTGCCGCCTGTGCGCCGCCGCTGCCCGTGTGCCGCCGCTGCCCCTACGCTGCCGCTGCCCATGCGCCGCTGCTGCCCGTGCGTCGCTGCCGCTCGTGCACCGCTCGCAGCCGCTGCCGCCCGTGCGCTTCTGCAGCCGCCGCCCGCGAGGCGCTCGCTCCCACTGTTTTTTCTACCTACCGCGCACACTGCTGCCGCTGCAGCTGCCACCAGTGCGCCGTTGCAGCTCCTGCTGCCACGCTCCCTACTACTGCCGCTCGTGTGCCACTACGGACACTCGGCCCCGCCCGCGCCTTACCTAGCGGCCCCGCCGGCCCCGTTGACCCTACGCACACCTTTCCAGCGGCCTAGTTCCTACTCCTACTACTGTCACTATGGCTAGTCCTCCCGTTCTAGCTTTCGATGCCGAGGGCCGTCCGGTGAAGTTCGAAACCTGGCTAGATGACCTGCACCTGTTCCTACAGCTCACTGCCAAAGAAGACATCTCGCTGTACGACCACGCCCTAGGCCATGCTACTGCCCCTGACACGTCTGCTGACAGCACTCTACGCTCTCAGTGGCAGACTCGTGATGCGCACCATCGCTTTGCTATTCGCAACTCCCTGCCGCTAGACGAGCGCGAGCACTTCGGCCAGTGCAAGACTGCTAAGGACCTCTACACCGCTGTAGTTGCCCGTTACTCCTCACCCGCTTCTGCTACGCTAGGCCGCCTCACTCTCCCCTACCTGTTCCCCGACCTAGCCTCCTTTCACACTGTCGCAGACCTCATCACCCACCTTAAGACTAGTGAGGCCCGCTTTCGCGCTGCTATGCCTGCCGAGTTTCTCACTAGCACCCCCCCCCCCCGCTCTGGATCACTCTCTACCACATCGTCACCCGCCTCCCTGACTCTCTGCGCGCAGTCAGGGACCACTTCCTCTCTCGCTCCCCCACTGAGCTCACTGTTGCCCTCCTCGAGAAGGAACTGCTTGCAGCTGAGGCGAGCATCGTCGCTGTAGGCACCTCTCGTGGCGACCCCCGCACCCCGTTCTTCGAGGGGTGTTCCCCTTCCCCCCTCCTCCCCTCTGTCGCCTCTGCTGCTGCTGTCGACCTCCTTGGTGCTGAGAAGGTCGGGACCGCGTCTGCTTCGAGCGGGCGCCGCAGGAGCAAGGGAGGCAGGGGTGGGGGTGGTGGCGGAGGAGGTGGGGGTGGAGGCGGTGGGAGTGGAGGCGCGACTGGGGAGGCTAGTGGCGGCAGTGGGGGAGGAGACAGCAGCGGCGGGAGCGGTGGCAGGGGTGGAGGCGGCAGCGGAGGTGGAGGTGGTCGTGGCGGCGGCAGGGGTGGAGGTGGCCGAGGCGGTGGTGGTGGCGGTGGTGGTCGTGGAGGCACTGGCGGAGGCCCGAGTCAGCAGCCCGCCCCGACGCTTCAGGCCGCCCGTGAGTGGTATGCGCAGCGTGGCTTTACCTGCACGTACGTCATTCGCACAGGTGACCGCAGCGGCCAGCAGTGTGGGAGGCCGCACCCCACGCACCGCTGCTTCGCGCGCCTTAACGACGCGTGGCGCACCCAGTTTCCTGATGCCGCTGAGCTGCCGCGCTGGGCTGATCTGGAAAAGAGGGGTGTTGATATTTGGGCTCTAGACTTTGATGCTATTCTCACTGCCATGTATGCCATGTCTATTAGTGGAGAGGGTGCTCAGTACTTGCGTGTTCCGCCCGACCCGGGCATTCAGGCCAGTCCGGCTGCCGCTCTAGGTGCTAGTGCGTCTGCTCCCACAGGTCCTGGTGAGGCTGCTGCCCTAGGTGCTAGTGCGTCCGTGCCCCCTGGTACTGAGTTGACTGCAGCACTGCACACCTTCACACTGGACTCAGGTGCCTCTCGCTCTTTCTTTCGTGACCGCACTGTCCTTGAGCCACTCGCTCGGCCAGTTGCTGTCTCCCTTGCTGACCCCTCTGGGGGTCCGGTCATTGCGACCTCCTCCACTGTTCTTCCTTGTCCTGCGGTCCCGTCCGGCACGCTTTCAGGTCTCTACCTCCCCTCGTTCTCTACGAACTTGGTGGCGGGTTGTGCGCTCCAGGACTCGGGTGTTCACCAGTTCACCCCTGCCTACGAGCGCGTGACACACTGCACATGTGCTCGGACGGGTCGCCACCTGGCTACTTTCACTCGAGAGCCGGGGTCGGACCTGTACACACTGACCACTGAGTCCCCTCAGGTAGCTGCGTCTGCGTCTACGTCTGCGTCTTCGTCAGGTCAGCTGTCCGCCCCCTGCTCGTGTCGCTCTCTGGCGCATGAGACTGTCCTTTGGCACCACCGCCTTGGTCACCCGTCTGTGCAGCGCCTTCGGGCCATGCACAAACGGGACCTTGTTGCTGGTCTTCCCAGGGTGCTCCCTCCCCTTCCCGACTCACCTGCTCCTCCCTGTATTCCCTGTGTCGAGGGGCGGCAGCGCGCCGCTCCTCACTCCTCCTCCTTTCCCCCGACGACTGCTCCCTTGCAGACGCTCCACTTGGACGTGTGGGGCCCAGCCCGCGTCCGTGGACAGGGTCAGGAGCGGTACTTCCTGCTCGTTGTTGACGACTTCTCGCGCTACACCACGGTCTTCCCCTTGCGAGCCAAGGGTGACGTACCTGATGTCTTGATCCCTTGGATCCGCAGATCTCGTCTCCAGCTCACCAGGCGTTTCCGCTCCGACTTTCCTGTCCTGCGTCTGCACTCTGACAGAGGTGGGGAGTTTTCCTCTGGCCTCCTGGAGGCCTTCTGTCAGCAGGAGGGCATTGAGCAGTCGTTCACGCTTCCGGCCTCTCCACAGCAGAATGGGGTTGCTGAGCGCCGCATTGGTCTAGTCATGGAGGTCGCTCGTACCTCCTTGAGTCATGCGGCTGCCCCCCATTTTCTGTGGCCGTTTGCGGTCCGATACGCTGCGCATCAGCTCAACCTCTGGCCCCGTGTCTCCTTGCCCGAGACTTCTCCGACACTGCGTTGGACGGGAGAGGCTGGCGATGCGTCGCGTTTTCGGGTCTGGGGATCCCGAGCTTTTGTCCGCGACACGTCCGCGGACAAGCTCTCCCGTCGCGCTGTCCCCTGCGTCTTCCTTGGCTTTGTCCCGGACGCCCCTGGTTGGCAGTTCTACCACCCCACCTCGCGTCGTGTCCTGGCCTCTCAGGACGTCACTTTTGACGAGTCCGTCCCCTACTACCGCCTCTTCCCCTACCGCACTGCCCCGCTCCCCCCCCCGCCTCTCTTCCTCGCTCCAGGTGCTGAGGTACCAGACCCCCTCCCCCCTCAGGGTGCCGCTCCCTCAGGTGTGTCCCAGGTAGACCCGGGTGAGCCTGTCGAGGTAGCTGTTGACTCTCGTCCTGCGTCTGGGGGTGCTGAGCCTGGGGGTGCTGAGTCTGGGGGTGCTGAGACTGAGCGTGCTACACCTGGAGGAGCCCTCTCCTCCCAGCAGCTGCAGGAGAGGTACCTCGAGTACTGCCGCCTCCGGAGAGGTGCTGCTGGAGCTCGTCCCGGTACTTCCCCTCCTACCCAGGAGCTCCCCCCCATTCAGCAGATCCGAGAGTGGTACACACGCCGCTGCAGTCTTCGGAGTGGTCCTCCGGGTGCTGAGGACCCGAGCGGTGGCGCTGCTGCTTGTGCTGAGGACCCGGGCGCTGGAGCTGCTGCTGGTGCTGAGGACCCGGGCGGTGGAGCTACTGCTGGAGCTGAGGACCCGAGCGGTGGTGCTACTGCTGGTGCTGAGGACCCGGCCGGTGGAGCTGCTGCTGGTGTTGAGGACCCGGACGTTGGAGCTGCTGCTGGTGCTGAGGACCCTGCCGCTGGTGTCTCTGCTGGTTCTGGAGACGCTACGCGGCCGCGACCGTACTTCGTACCACTTCTTCAGCAGGTTCTTGGTCAGGCTCCTCCTCCCTGTCCTCCTCCCTCAGTAGAGTGTCCTCCGCCTGTCCAGTCGCCGTCACAGTTACCGCCTGCCTCGCCTCTCCCTGCTCCCTCTCCTTACACTGGTCCCACGGGAGGTCTTACAGAGCGTCGTGAGCCTGAGTCTCGTCCTGCGTCGCCTGTTCGTACTGCTCGCACTGGTCGTCGTGTCCCACGTGAGCGTCCTCCTCCTGTCCCTGGCACTCACTACATGACTCTGCGTCCCTCCACTGCTCCTCAGCGTCTCCTGCTTCCTCTCTGCCTACTCTTCCTGACCCGGAGTCTGACTCCCGTCGTGCTGCCAGTCCCACTGTCACCCGTCTCCTCGCTACTGTTGTCACTGACCCTGCCTTTGAGTCCTCTGCTGCGTCTGCTCTAGTCGCTGAGTTGATAGACTTTGCTGCCCGGTGTCGTCTAGACTACGCCACTAGCCTTGTTGCTGAGTCTGAGTCTGCGTCTGTCTGTCCTCCGTCCGTCGGGGGTGAGTGTGCTCTTGGCACGGACGTCCTTGAGGACAGACAGGAGGAGTTCCAGTGCTTTGCTGCTGCTTTGCCCCACCTCGTGTCCATGCTAGTTGCCCCTGAGGGAGACCCGGATGCACCAGACATCCCGACCCCGCGCACTTACGCTGAGGCGATGGCGGGTCCCTACTCCTCTCAGTGGCAGACAGCCATGGACGCAGAGATGGCTTCCTGGAAGTCCACACGCACCTACGTCGACGAGGTTCCCCCACCTGGGGCGAACATCGTCAGTGGCATGTGGATTTTCAGGGTGAAACGGCCACCGGGTTCTCCTCCTGTCTTCAAGGCGCGCTACGTGGCTCGAGGCTTCAGTCAGCGAGAGGGAGTTGACTTCTTTCAGACCTTCTCCCCCACCCCGAAGATGACCACTCTTCGGGTGCTGCTGCACATAGCCGCTCAGCGCGACTACGAGCTTCACTCACTTGACTTCAGCACTGCTTTCTTGCAGGGCAGCCTGCACGAGGAGATCTGGCTGCGCCGCCCTCCTGGCTTCATTGGGTCGGTTCCTCCTGGTACCCAGTGGAGGCTTCAGCGGCCGGTCTACGGTCTCCGCCAGGCACCGCGTGAGTGGCACGACACACTGAGGACAACACTTGCGGCTCTTGGGTTCGCTCCCTCTACTGCTGACCCGTCACTGTTTCTACGCACAGACACCTCACTGCCGCCGTTCTACATCCTCGTGTACGTCGACGACTTGGTCTTTGCCACTGCTGACACCGCGGCACTTGCCCACGTGAAGTCGGAGCTGCAGAGGAGACACACGTGCACAGACCTGGGTGAACTGACAAGCTATCTTGGCTTGCGGATCACCCGGGACAGAGCACGGCGCACCATCACCTTGACTCAGTCACACATGGTGCAGCAGATCCTTCAGCGCTTCCGCTTCACGTACTCCTCGCCTCAGTCCACTCCTCTGCCTACCGGTCACTCGCTCTCAGCTCTGCCTTCGGATGAGTCCGTAGAGCCGAGTGGCCCGTATCCAGAGCTTGTGGGCTGCCTCATGTACCTGATGACCTGCACTCGACCTGACCTTGCATACCCTCTTAGCATCCTTGCGCGCTATGTCGCTCCTGGCCGTCACAGGAAGGAGCACATGGATGCCGCTAAGAGGGTGTTGCGCTACTTGTGCAGTACGTCGGGCATGGGGCTAGTGCTTGGAGGGCGAGACCGAGTTGTACTTACTGGACACTCAGACGCTTCTTGGGCGGACGACCAGGCTACTCAGCGGTCGTCTCAGGGTTACACCTTCAGCCTTGGCTCCGGCTCAGTTTCTTGGCGTTCTACACGCTCTTCTTCTGTTCTCAGCTCCAGTTGTGAGGCTGAGATCTACGCCACAGCCATGGCTGCCCAGGAGCTACGCTGGCTGACCTACCTGCTGACCGACTTGGGTGAGCGGCCTCGTTCTCCTCCAGTGCTGTACGTCGACAACCAGGCTGCCATTGCCTTGTGTGAGGAGCACAGACTGGAGCACAGAACGAAGCACATCGCCCTGCGGTACTTCCTTGCTCGAGAGCTGCAGCAGCGTGGTCAGCTTCGTCTGCGTTACGTGGCCACTGAGGCCAACCTTGCTGATGTGTTCACCAAGGCGCTTCCGCCTTGTGACCATCAGCGCTTCTGCACTCTGCTAGGCCTTGTGCCTACTGGACCTCACTTACTTACCTCTTGACCTTGCTTGTACTGTGATCACTATATATATATCTACCTGCATGTTTACTCTTGCTAGGTTGTGATCACTGTATCTCATGCTCTGTTATAAACCTGCATGTGAACTGGTCTTGTGACCACTAGCTTGTGCTCGGAATTTGTGTGGCATCCTTGAGATCCACCCTGAGCTTGTTGTTGCCTTGCTTTGCCTTGACTGGTCTTGTGACCCCTAGGTCTCCCCCACTTTGCCTATGGGGGTGTGTCAAACATTATATGTGTTGTGTTTGTGTAGGCTGTAGTGGGTTAGCCTATAGGGGGGTCACAACATTAGGGTTTCATATTTGTACTCACAATCCTTTCTAGTTCACCATTCCAGTCCGTTATCACTGACAAGACCGTGGCAACAGGTGACGATGGATTTCGTCACGGGGATGCCAGCTGGGCCGTCCGGCAACGACGCTGTTCTCGTCGTCGTCGATCGCTTCACGAAAATGGCGCACTTCGCACCATGCCGAACGACAATCACAGCCGAAGAAACTGCGCGCCTCTTCATCTCAACGGTCGTGCGACTGCACGGCATCCCTTCGGCGATCATCACCGACCGAGACCCGAAGTTTACGTCTAAAGTTTGGAAGGAGACGTGGGCGCAGTACGGCACGAAGCTACAGTTCTCATCGGCATACCACCCACAGACGGACAGACAAACCGAGCGAACCAACCAAACCATAGAGCAGCTGATACGGACAAACTGCCCCGACCCCGCACGATGGGAAGATTCCCTCGCCATGTTGGAGTTCGCCTTCAACAACGCACTGTCCAGCACGACTAATCACTCCCCGTTTTTCCTAAATTACGGGATGGATCCGACGGTCCCCACGGCGACTTCGCTCGACAACCCGGTCCCGAGGTCACAGACTTTTGTGACGGAACTACAGAACATCCGCGAAAAAGCCGCAGACGCAATTCGCAAGGCGAATATCACTTCCCGCAAGTACACCGACCTTCTACGCCGGGAACTCGTCTTGACTACTGGGCAATTGGTGCTCCTCGACACAAAGAACCTGCACTTGCTCGGTCCATCGAAGCTACGGCCCCGATTTTGTGGACCGTTTATGCGGAGATAACTCTAGCAACGGGAGCTTGACTACGGGGAAGGCACGTGTGTGAGAGGTAGCTCTGCGTTCGTTCCTTAGTCGTTTCCTTCACCGGCGTGTATCACTCCTCGCTGCCTCGACGTGCCTCCCGCACTGCTGCCGACCTGGCCTCCACCGGCGTTGACGCCCACGTCGACGCCGCCCTCGGTGTTCACCGGTCGAGGAGAAGCAGGCCGAGAAGGGTGCTCCGCCGCCCACATGCTGCGGAGCCCGGCCTCGACGACCGCCCACGGCAGGTCGCCGTACTCGTTGGCCTCGTGCTTCCTCCTCGCATTCTCCAGCCGTGCCTCCAGGGTGTCCACCACCCCGGCGTCACCTACGCCGCCTACCATGGTGGCTAGCGCACAGCTGCCGGACTACGAACACTATCGGGACGTGCAAAGTCGGCTAGACTGGACTACGTCGCGTGTTCGATCCACGCTCACCGCACCATGCGGAGATAACTCTAGCAACGGGAGCTTGACTACGGGGAAGGCACGTGTGTGAGAGGTAGCTCTGCGTTCGTTCCTTAGTCGTTTCCTTGTGTGCACACTACTTGCTAGTTCACGGGGAGAATTGGCAAGAGTTCCACTAGGAAAAACATCACAACAAAGGTTCAGAATGATTGCAACAACATTGGCATGCATCACTACATCAGAGCTAGCACAACTGCTGGTCGACCTCCAGCGCAGCACGGTCGACCGCGTTCCAGCGCAGCAATGCTCGCACCGCTCCAGCGTTGCAGAGATGCGGCGCGCCAACGTTGCATGTCCAGGGCGTGACAGCGCTGCAGCAAGTCGGCTGCACAGCGTTGCACCCGCAGGACAACGGTGCACCTGCTTCGCAGGTGCGCGCAGCTGGTTGGTGCTCCACGCCTGGTCACGAGCACAGCGCAGACGCCTAGATCAAGTCCACGCCAGTGACTGCGCCCACCAGCCACGTCGACCTCGGGATACCACCCCCGAGGTCGGCCTCGCAGACTCCACCCCGGCGACGCTCGCACACGTCGCCCGGGTATCCCGGTCGACCGGGCAACCCTGCCTGGTCGTCCAGCCCTGCCTGACGCCGGCTACACCAAGCCCGGCGTCCCCAGGTCGGCGTCCTAACATCCTGGTCGGCGTCCTCTCGCCCAGGACGCCGTCCAGACGCCCCAGTCGGCGTCCAGACGCCCGGGACGCCGAGCAAGCGCTCAGGTCGGCGTCCAGGCTCTCCGGACGCCGAGCAGACGCCCAGGTCGGCCCAGGACGCCCAGCAGACGCCCCGGTCGGCGTCCAGGCACCCAGGACGCCGAGCAGACGCCCAGGTCGGCGTCCCACCTCCCAGGACGCCTAGCAGAGGCTCCAGCTGGTGCCCAGGCGCCCGGGACGCCGAGCAGACGCCCAGGACGGCGTCCAGGCGCCCAGGACGCCGAGAAGACGCCCACAACGCCGTCCAGACGCCAAGGACGGCGTCCACCTGCTCGGCGCCCTCCAGCCAGGCGCCTCCCAACACCACGCCCTTGCAGTGGCCCCCGTGCCCACTGCTGCAGGTCGGCTGCATCCCCCGTGTACCCGATCACAAAGTCGGCTCCGCCCAAGCGAGGACGGGGCCAAACAACAACTCCTGTTGATAGTTTAAAATCATCAAGATGGTGACACCTGTCACCGCGAAGCTGTTGCTACCGGACGACTGGCGAATTCATGACGCCTTCCACGTCAGCCTGCTTCGCAAGTTCGTGCCAGCCACGACCGACATCGCACGTCAGCAAGCTGCCCCGACAGCACGACCTGTCCCGGAGCCGACCCTCGAACCTTCGAAGATTCTGGCACATCGGGTTCGACTTGACGCAGCTGGCCGACACGTGGATTTCTTAATCCGCTGGACTGATCGCACCAGTGAGGACGACACGTGGGTGTCATCCGTCTCGCTCGACGCCTCGCCACTTGTTGGTGATTATTTGGCGCGCCGGCGTGTTTCGGATATTGACCGCCTTTCTTAAGATGGGGGGGGAGGGTGTAAGGAATTTTCTCGAATTCCTTATCGGGGTTGACTGCTGCGCGTACAACCCGATTTTCGGAGTTCGCACGTTCGGGCGATTTCCACGCTGCCGAGGCTCCTCGCGTCGCCCGCGGCATTTCCATCGCCAAACCTGCAATCAACCTCGCTCATTCGAGGTTTCCTCCTAGCTAGGCTAGCCCTACATTAGTCTGTGCATTCATTGTATTCTCAGTTCATTCAGTCACAGCCTCGTTATTCGTTTACCTGCGCACTCTCTTTTACAACTCATAAAAGTCGAGCTCGTGCCTTCCCCCTGGCTCCTACTGTTGTACAAAGTCTCTCCGCAACCCCCTCCCCGAACCACTCCCGTGGTTCGATCGCCCCAAACTGAGGCAATCTTCCGACCCTCGATCGCATCCCGAGCCGTGCTATTAGACGGAAGAATTTTGCGGACACGTTCCTGCCATAGAGATGGCGACACCCAGCGAATTTTTGTATCACTTTATTATAGCGTAGCCCTATTTTGGGCTCCCGATTCTCCCATCGCCTTCGCCCAAACTGATCTCACGATATCCAATTCTGCGACGAGCAGACGCGAATTTTGGCATGATTAGTTACTGATCGCAACTGTTGCCAGGCGCCGCGATCTGAGGCAACTATAAATTGCCCCCGATTGCTTCGAAATACCCATACCGTATGGGGAAAATGGTGGATTGCCCCAATCTGAGGCCCGATCGCCCCCATCGCTCCTATCAGCCTCAGATCGCCCCGATCTGCTTGCCTCTCTAGTTTTATCTCTTGTATGCTCTGCTCCCCCCTACCCCATATCGCCCCAATCCATCCATGATCCCGTTCCTTCTGCACTCGTCCGCGTTGTGCGTGTGTCTCCTAGCGTGCGTGCTGTTGTGCTGTGTCCATGCGGCCTCGCCCGACGCCCACACGGGTTCGCACCCGCCCCGTCTGTCATCCGCATACTCTCATCCTGATGGCGACCGTCCAGTAGTCTGCGACACAAAGCGCCTCTCGAAAAGGGCTCGCATTGGCAGTGCGGGAAGATCCAGCGTCGCTTCGCCTCCCCCATGCGCGCGTGCTGACCCCCTCGCCCTGCCATCCCTCAACGCGCCCAGCGGGTCCCCTGCCACCGCCGCCACCACGCCATGGCGGCAGCGCGTGCGGCGGTTCCCTCCGTGCGAGCAGCCGCTGCCCGCTTGCGAATCAAACCTTTCTGCGCCCCTCCCCTCCCAGCCTATCACCCCCGCCCGCTCCTCCCAGACCCTAATCTCCAAAGCGTCTCCCCACGGTGCGCTCGCCCTCCCCCCGCAAGGGCACGGGCGGGGGGCGCAGCGCGGCGAGCCCGCTCGTGGGGAGCGCGCGCAGATGCGGCAGAAGGCGGGGGAAGGGCGACGGCGGCTAGCAGGGTTGTGGCGGGGGAAGGTGTGGAGGAAGGCGAGGCGGAAGGCGTGGGAGCGACGGCTGAAGCAGCAGAAGCCGTGGGTGCGCGATGCGAGGCGGTACCTGCACAGCGGGGACAGCACGGGCAGCAGCACCCTCAGCACGGCGCTGGCGTATGAGAACCTGACACGTGTGAACATGAACCCCTTCGACAAGCTGCACCCCCGGCAGGGAAGGCGCGAGGTGCTGCTGGGGTGCCGTGGGGCGCCGTGCCCGAACATGAAGCAGTGCGAGGGGCATGGCGCGCAGTGGGGGGCATCAAAGGTGCACGCGTGTTACGACCCTGGAGTGGGCGAGGAGACAGCACACGCGGTGGAGGCGCCCGTGAACTGTCCGCGGATCAGGGCGGGCGGTGAGCAGGTGCGCTTCGACCCGGCGTGCTCGCACGCGGTGGACGACGCGGCGGTGTGGCTGTGGGCGAGCCAGGTGTTCGAGGTGGAGAACGTGTGGGTCAACGCACGCGGCCAGGCCTTCAACCACCACCTCTACTTCGACCGAGGCGGCTGCGGCAGTGACCACCAGGTGAGCCCGTGCTGTGCGGGGGAAGGCATGGCATGGGGGTTGCGAGCAGGTGGCAGCCAAGGGGCGCGCAGTGGCAATTGGCATCCTTGCCCGTCTTCACCACATGCCCTGCCATGCCACACAAGCCATGCCACCGACTTGCTGGTCTAGCCTATGTTCCTCAACCATGCCATGCCATGCCATGCCATGCCATGCCATGCCATGCCATGCCATGCCATGCCATGCCACGCCATGCCACGCCATGCCCCCCCGTGTACAGTTTGTGCATGCAGCGGGCACGGAGGTGGTGGAGTACGAGGCGGTGGTGAACCTGGCGCACTGGAACACGTGGCAGTTCTACCATGGCCTCGTCGAGCTGCTGCCGCTCTTCCTCGCCCTGCGATCCCTGCGCCCCCACATCCAAGACGTGCCAGTCGCCCTGCAGCTGCTGCAGGTCACGCTGCCATGCACACCTCCTACCTGCATTTTCGCTTGTGTTCACTGTCACAGTGCTTGCGATTCCTAGCGGAAGTTGCGATTCCTAGCGGAAGTTGTGTGAAGAGCCAGGGTGGTTTGGCAAGGAATTGTGCATGGTGTGTGTGCTTGTGGGCATGCATGCGGCAGGTGGAGTTCATGGAGCAGGTGGGGTCGTTTGTGCTGGGGCTGGACTCCATTGACCTCAACGCCCGCGTCATTCCCAACCACCAACTCTTCTTCGCCCGCCGCCTCTACCAGGTGCGCCTCTACCAGGTGCGCCCTTGATGGTTACCTGAACGAATAGGATGGGGGGGGAAAGGGGTGGACAAGCGGATGGGATGGGAGATGCCACATGAAAGCAGAGTTCGAAGGTATATCTCATGGAAGGATTGTAGACTGGGCTTTATTGCAAGCCCTATTCACCAGGTGCGGTCTCGCCAGGTGCAGCCTGCAGGTATTGCAGGTTCTTGGCTGTTACGATCAGCCTTGTTCTCCAACGCCTCTTTCACTGCCCACCCATGATTTGTCACTCGCCTGGTCATCTTGCTGCTGTGCTCATGCACTTACTCCCGCACTCGTGCTACCTCTCTTTTGCGCGCTTTCGCATCCCTTCATGAGCGCTCACCACATTCTCTACTCCTCTCTCGCCTGCTCACTGACATCACATGCGTTTCACCTTGCGCCGCTACTCCCGCACGCTCTCTATCTCGCCCATTGCATGTCGCCCTCCACTGTGGCCACCGCCCTCCGTTCCTCGTCACCGCCGCTTTCACAAGTCATGTACCTGTTGTCGCCTTGCTCTGCCTTCCCTCGTCCACTCCTCTTTGATGTCAGCACGCACGTGGCCTTGCATGTTGCCCTTCTCCACCCACCACCGCAGCCACTCTACACATGGTGCGGCCACCCCTCGCCCTCGCTCTGGCACCGCCTGCGCCACAATCACCTACTGCCGCCCAATGGCCTCCCCTTGATGCGCCCTGATTGGTCCTTGATGCGCCGTGCATCGTCCTCCCTCGCACAGCCCACCGTGTTGGACGTGTCCTACCCGCTGCCCCCCCCGGCCGACTGGGTGGTGGTGGTGGCGAGGCGCATGGGCACGCGCGCCCTGGAAGGCTTTGACGACATGCTGCAGGGGGTGAGGGGCGTGGTGCAGGGCGCACGAGGGGCAGAGGTGGGCAATGCGGTGGGGCGAGTGGTGGTGTTCGATGGCTCACTGGACATCAGTGCCGGTGAGAGCCATGCATTCATGTGTGCGCCAGCGTCATTCATTACAATGACTATCCCCTGCCTTCCAGATTGTCTTCCAACCGCCTCCCACAGCTCCTTGACTCATGCACATGCCTGTGTTGTTTTGCCCGAGTTATGCACCAATGCCGCTGCCAATCTTCATTTCTTCGCTAGCACCATGCTTTATAGGGAAAGCCCACACGTCGTTGATGCCAACCCGTCCCCCGCACCCAGCCCTGCCATCATCTCCTTTTCTTTCCACCTCCCTTATACAAACCTTTGCTTTGAGTGTCTACCTTGGATCTCCTTCTTTCCCTTCCCCACTCGCGCCTCCCCCGCGCCGTTGGGAGGCACAGCATATCGCCTCTTCCGGCGCACGGTGCTGTTGATAGGGGTGCACGGGGCAGCGCTCACCAACCTCATCTTCATGCCGCGCAACGCCACTCTGCTGGAGCTGCGGCCCAGAGGCATGGCGAATGCATGCTACCACCACCTGAGCAGTGTGTGCAGCGTGCAGTACTACCTGCTGCTGTGCGACGGTGGCAAGGACACCCCTGTCACGTGCCACATGGATCACCTCATGGCTGCTGTTGAGGAGGCGTGGAAGGGAGTGGAAGAGACATTTGGCTTGTGACCAACTCATACGGTACTCCCTAGAAAGCCCTGTACCCTTTACTCTGCAACTCACTGTAACCTAACAGGTAACAAAGATAACAACATAACTTGACAACCCTCATAGGCTAAGTGAGTTGCATCCAAAACCTTACTGAGGCACTCGTTAGCGAGGCCATCCCGAGGGCCACGCGACCAACTGGTTCGGCCTACAATTTCCCATCCAAACTTCACCGAGCCGCATCCGCACCAATTGAGACCCTTCGCGAGCCAACCTTTCTCGACCCCCCCGCCTAGCAGGCCCCAAAATGTCAGGGTAAAATACCCTGATTGCCCTGACTGGCGGCCGCTTTTTTTGGGGTTACCCTGACCCAGTCAGCCTCCCGGATTTCTTACTCTGACTCAAAAAGAGTTTCGATTTTTGTACCCTTATGAAATCCGAGTTAGCGATTGTTTCCCCTGACCTTAAAACCGGGGTCTCAAGTTTCCCGAAGTTGCCTCATCCTTCATACCTTTGGTTGGGTAACAAGGTCCAACCAAGCTTCCAACCTTAGGTTTTGTCACAAAGTCCAACCACCTTCCTACCTATGAAACCTGTGGACCCTGGGTTTTAATCAGTATTTTAACCCTGTTACGGTGATACCGATACTTTCGTAGCGAGAATACAGCGGATGTTACGCAAATTAGAGCCAATTTCCCCACTGCGGTATCGAACTCCCTACCTTCCCAGTCGTAACAACACCTCTACCTAACTGAGACATTTCGGCTAGTGGTATTATAAGTTTTATAACGTAATCAGACGAAGTTTGTTTTTGCTGAGATCAGAAGTTGATCGTAGCCCAGGATCTACTTAGGAAGGTTCGCACACAGTGAGGTAGTATTGGTGGGCCCTTGACCTCAATAGCAGAGTGAATGTAAAATGCTTGAGATAATTAAAACATGCAAATACAAGAAATATAAATATGAGTACAGGGGAATACGAAACGACCTAACTAGCCATGTACTCTAAGGGGTACATTCCCTTATTCAAATACATCCCCAACCGTGCGGCGCGTACAGTTTCGTAACTGTTCCCGCCAAAACCATCCTGCCTGCAGCTGCCCGATGTCGTCTGCTCCGACGGTCCAGATGTGCTGTAACCGTCCGACGCTTCGATTCAATTCCAACCGTCTGACGCTTCGCGTTCATTCCCGATACTGCGTGCTTCTCTTGCTGCGGTGAGGAGTGCACAGTAATATCAAGTATTACTATTCGTAACACCCCCCTTCACTCCTGGCCGTAGCTCGACTTGACCTGCTTGACCACGCCGCTGAGTTCGGAGCAGTGTTGATACTGCTGGCGTGGCAGTCGCTTCGTGAGGAAGTCTGCTGCCATGTCACCTGTCGGGCAGTAAGTCAAGTTCTTTGCCCTTGTCCACCTCGTCCTTCACGAAGAAGTACCGCAGCGCGATGTGTTTGGTGCGGTTGACGAAACCAGGTTTGTTCGCGATGCGAATCGCGCTCTGGTTGTCGCAGTGAAGGCGGAATGTTTGTGAAGCTGGAATTTTCGCCTCTTGCAGAAGTTCCTGCAGGTAGAGGCCTTCGCGAACTGCTGCGGTTGCTGCGATGAATTCCGCTTCGGCTGATGACAGGGCAACCAACTCCTGCTTCTGTGAATTCCAGGAGATTGGTCCCGATGGCTCGAGTCGGAACAGGAAGCCAGTCCTGGACCGTCGATTGTCAGGATCTGCTGCGTGATCGGCGTCCACGTAGCCGACGAGGTTGAAGGATGGGGTTGGTGCAGTTGAGTAGCACAGCCCAATCTTGGGCGTTGAAACGAAGAATTCAAGGGCGCGCTGCAAGTCCAGGAGATTTTCAGCCGTTGGTTTGCGTGAGTACTGCGCAAGCTGACTTGCGATGTACGAGAGGTCTGGCCTGCAGGTGACGGAGGCGAAGAGGAGGCATCCCAACTGCTGCTGGTAAGTCTGAATCCCAGCAGGGGATAGGGCTTTGTTGTCAGGTTTGTGGTTCGGTCCGGGGGTTCGGTAGGGAGTCGAGAGAGGTGCGGGTGAAATCTTGAACCGCTTCCCTAACTCCTCTGCGTACTTAGCCGCTGAGAGGTGAATGGCCTCAGGCGCGTAGGAGATGTTGAGGCCTAGGAACTGCTGTTGACAGGACTAGGCAAGAATGATTGAAAGGAGAGGAGTTTCACTAGCAGCAGTTGGGGTACATATAGCAAACCCTAACTGGGTTGTACTCGCTATAGAGCACCCCACTACAGGCTAGACAATAATAACATTCTGACACACCCCCATAGCCAAAGTGGGGTGTAATCAGTACAATGAGCAGGCATAGCAATAGTTCACAATTATAAGCAAAGCTAGAGGTGATCATAGAGGGCAAGTGAGGAGGAGGAGAAACTGTGAGGGCGAGAAGATGAAAGGCGCCGACTGAAGCTGCAGACACACGGGCAACAGGAGCGGCGCGCACAGTGGCTACCGAGCGCACGAGGGCACCGGACTACGGGAGTATCTGGCTCCGCGGCTACGACGAGCACACACAGGAGCAACGGACCCACAGGCGACTGGCGAAGCAGGCTCGCTGGGCTACCGAGACGCGCGAGGGCATCCGGACTACTGGCGCTGCTGGCGTCACGACGGCTACCTCCGCTCAACCTCCCCCAACAGTCCCACACCCCTCGACACACACCCCCTGCTGCGCCCCTAGCTCCACTCCCCCTTCACCCCCCTAGGACCACTCCTTCGGCTCCCCACACAACCACCCCCCTGAGCGGCAGCTGCAGCAGCGGGAGACGGAGGAGGAGGAGAAGGAGGGGACGGGGCACACAACCGGCACCCCCACACCCGCCACCCCCACACTCTACATCCCCAAACCCTAAAACGGGTGGGATAGGGGCAGGAGCGCGGGGGACGGCGAGAGGGGGACGGACGAGGCGCGCGCAGGCTGCCCGCGCCGCGCGCTGGCCTGGCGCAGCCCGTACGGGCCGCGCGCGGGCCTGGCGCCGCCCGTACGGGCCGCGCGCGGGCTGTACGGGCCGCGCGCGGGCCTGGCGCAGCCCGTACGGGCCGCGCGCGGGTCCCAGGGGCGCTTCGACGGGCGACGGGGGCGTTTTGGCGGGCGACGGGGGGCGCTCCGACGGGCGACGGGGGCGCTTCGACGGGCGACGGGGGGAGGGCGCTTCGACGGGCGACGGGGGGCACTTCGACGGTGGGAAACCGCCGCGCGCCTCGGGGCGCACGGCGTGCAGAAAACCGCCGCGCGCCCCGAGCGCACGGCGGGATGAAAACCGCCGAAACCCTAGAAAAAATTCGAGCGCACGGCAGGAAGAAGTCGTCGCGCGCCCGAGGCGCCCGGCAGGAAGTAAAGCAGCGGAAGCATTAGGTGGTGGGCCCACCCACAGGATCGACCCAGGAGGGTCGACCTGCTCTGATAGCATGTTGACAGGACTAGGCAAGAATGATTGAAAGGAGAGGAGTTTCACTAGCAGCAGTTGGGGTACATATAGCAAACCCTAACTGAGTTGTACTCGCTATAGAGCACCCCACTACAGGCTAGACAATAATAACATTCTGACAACTGCTTCACCTCGTAGTTGCACGTGATGTCGACGCGCCCCGCCAAGGCTTTCTCGAACTGCTCGAGAAGCTCGTTGTTTGAGCCTGTGTAAAGCAGGTCGTCGACGTACACCGTGAGGAGAATGTATTCGCCGCGGAAATCGCGGCGGTACATTCCTGGGTCGTGCGGCATCTGCTTGAACCCGATTTCAAGCAGGATGTTGTGCAGGTACTGCTGCCACAGCCTCGGAGCCTGCTTGATGCCGTAGAGTGACTTGCGCAGCTGACACACGCGCGCGTCTCCTTCGCCGTAGGTGTGTGGCTGCTCCACGTAAATTACAGCGTCTACTAACGCGTACAGGAACGCGTTCTTCACGTCGATCTGGCGGAGTGGTAAGTGCCTTGCAGCTGCGATGGCGAGCAGGATGCGGACGGAGGTGTGGCGGCTGACTGGGGCAAATGTCTGGTCGAAGTCGATCCCATGCCTCTGGTCATAGCCGCGAACCACCCAGCGCGCCTTGAAATGCTCGATCGTCCCATCCGCTGCGGTCTTCACGCGGAAGACCCACTTCCCCGAGAGGATCCTTGCGCCCTTGATTGCTGCACGATCGACGAGTGCCCAGGTGTCGCGTGACTCCAGTGCCTTGATTTCCGCGTCCATCGCCTCACGCCACTCCTTGCTGTGTGGTCCAGAGAGAGCCTCGCGCGGGTTTCGGGGCTCGATGATGCGCGGCGCCTTCGAGGTTGCGGTGTGAAGCCCGAGCAGTTGCAGTCCTGAGACGGTACTGTCGTGGCGACGCTGCGGGATGACTTCCTGCACGTCATCGTCGTCGCTCTCAGGTTCAGGTGGTGCTGATGGTGTTGCGCCTCCGCCGCTTCCGCCCGTTCCGCTTCCGCCTGTTCCGCCTATTCCTCCTCCCGAGGAATCATCGTCGTCGTCGTCGTCGCTGCTGCGCCGATCTTCCCAAGTGAATTCGGCCCTGGTGTCTTGCTCCAGAAGTGCTGCAGCGGCTTCGTCTTCGGGCGTTGCGTAGCTGTGCCCGTTGTTCGCGTAGACGCGATCTGCATTCCTCTGCTCGTCGTCGCGGAACTGGTCGAGGAAGAGACGCTCGTAGAAAATTACGTCGCGAGCGTGAGCGGTTTTCTGACTGAGGAGGTCCAGCACGATCCATGCCTTGTACTCGTGACTGATGCCGAGATGGATCCCCCAGCGCGCGCGGCTGGCGAACTTGCAGATGGTTGAAGTTGGCGGGCGGTATTGGACCATACACCCCCATACGCGGAGCATGGAGGTATCCCCCTTGGTTCCTGTCCACTTGACGTGCGGGGACAGGTTGCCGGTGATTGCAGTGGTTGAAAGCAGGTTGTGCACCCGCACGGCGTGGTGCATCGCGTAGGTCCAGTAGATCGGCGGCAATTTCGACTGCTTCATCAGCGCGCGCACCTTTGTCATCAGCGTGCGGTTCGTCCGCTCTGCTACACCCTGTTGCTGGTGCGCGTAGGGGAGAGAAATATGGTGCTCAATCCCCTTCTGCGTCAGGAAGGTCTGCATCTGGTTGCTCCTGAACTCTGCTGCGCCGTCAGATTGCCAGATTTTGAGTTTCTTCCCAGATTGCCGCTCCGCATATGCTAGCCAGAGCCGAAACACCTCGTAGGCTCTGTCACGCGACTCCACGTTCACGACCCACACGTAGCGTGTTCCAGCGTCGATGAAGGTAAGAGTGTATAGCTCGTCCTCGACTCCGCAATGCCCCACGTTCAGGAAATCGCTGTACACCTTGTGCAGCTTGGGGTAGCGGTTCGTTCCAGGTTCGAGCAGCGGGAACGGTTGGTGGCTCAGCGCAGCTTCGGGGCAGACTGTGCAATTGCGCGGATGCGTCGCGCCTCTCACTTCGGAGCCATCAGGGCGCAGGAGTGCGCCAGGAGCGAAGACGCCTGCGTCGATGCAGTTTTTCAGCGTTGCGCGAGAAGGGTGTCCGAGGCGCTGGTGCCAGAGTGCGTCGTCAGCGCGAAAGCCGGAGGTGCGCATGTAGCGCGCGCGCGCTTCCTCAGGGTCTTCGTCAGGTACAGGAGCAGGTTCCGCTGCTACTTCCTCTGCTTCTTCTTCCTCTGCCACGGTAGTCAGCATCAGCGCCAAGAACTCTCTGTCGCGAATTTCAGAGAGCGGGATGTTGGTCCCAGGGATGGTTCCAGGGACGAGGGTAGGTTGGCGTGGTTCAGGGGCAGGTCCGTAGACAGTACGGCGCGGGTTGACGGCTCGTTGCCCCAGACGATGGTGTCCCATGGATCGCGGCGAGGAGGATTGTCAGCGGGAGGTGGTGCGAGTGGGATGTGGCGCGGGGGACGACCAAGAGGAACGACTGCAGGTGTTGCCTCTGCTTCTTCGGCTGACTCCTCTTCCCCCCTTCGTTCTTCGCGGGAAGTGCCCCATCCGCTGTCGTCGGCGGTATGTGCGGCGCCCCATCCGCCGCTCGCGTTGGCCCAGGTTCCGCCGTTATCTCCCCATCTGCTGGTGTCGCTCGTTCCCATCCTCCAGCGCTTCCCCACCCCCCTTCATTGGAATCACTCTCTTCCGCTTCGGCTCCCCATGCGCCGCAAGCGAAGGTCCCGCGTGCTTCGGCGAGGCTTTGTTGGCGAAGCTCCTCAGCTTCGCGTTCCGCCAATTCTTCTTCTTGCTCCACGGTGAGTTTCACCGAGGGGTCGAGCCGATGAGAGTAGACCTTTCGGACTTCTTTGAGAGTGTAGGGGCGCGGAACTCCGCGTGAGTCCAAGCTTCCGCGCCGTTGTCCTCGCAGGATGTTCTCAAGTCGCTGGGAGGGAGGTCCAGCGTGGGGGCTTTGGTCGGTGCCGAACACACGGCGAGCAGCAGTTTCAAGCTCGAGCTGCGACATCCCTTCCTCTGGGGGCGCGTGCCATTCTGCTTCAGCGATGGCGGCAAGTCCGCGGCCCGCAATCGCGCTTGTTGAGGTCGTCGGCGTGTGGCAATCCCTGCAGATGCCATCTGAATCGGGCCGATTCGCGTGGGTGGGGATGATGTGGCACCCACGGCCTGCCGTCAGGGTGCTTCCAGTCCCTGCGGTGGATGTGTTCGAAGCGCAGTGGCACGAGGTCAATCAGCTCGTGCGAGTCGCCGCTGCAGTCGGGAGTGTCGAAATCCAAGACGTACACTCCATTTTCGGAGTGTGCTCGTCCGATCTGCCTGCGGTGGAAGTTGCGCGCCTCGTAGTATAGCAGGATGTCTCGCGTCGCGCGGTCCGTGCTGAGGTCGACGCCGCAATCCATGAGCTGTGCGGCGGACAGGAGGTTGAAGCGCAGGTTCTGGACGATCAACACATCATTAAGCGTGATGTGCGTGCGGCTTCCACGTGCTTTGAGCACGATGATGCCTTGCGCGCTTGCGCGCAGGCGCGTATTGTTCGCCACGGTGACGTAAGTGACGGTGGGGGTGAGGACGGCGTTGGATATGTAGCGCTCGGACCCCACCATATGCTGGCCGCAGCAGCTGTCCAGGTACCAGGTGTTGTAGCGCTTGTTGTCGTCACGTGCGAGCAGCGCCAGTCGCGGCGTGACGATGTGCGGGGTGTCAAACTTGAGAAATTGCTCGCGCGAGAGCCAATCAATTGGCGCCACCCGCATGTCGGGTACGTGCGGGGGACTCTCAAGGAGCGGGACTAGGAGGTTCCAGTCCTGATCGTCGTCGTCGGTGAAGTCATGGCGCGGGCTAAATGGGTTGTTGTTGGTGAATGCGCCAATGGGGTGCGGTGCCGGCTCAGGTGAAGGTGAGCGCACGCGTCGACGACGCGATTTGCCTGTCATGGCCATGTTGCTCATGACATTGCGAACTGGGGCAGTCGATGAAGGTTGCTGCTGCTGCTGCTGCTGCTGCTGATGCTGAACCGCTGGGTTCAGGTTGCGCGCGGGAGGGGGCTGGTACCCCTGGGCTGGACGCACGTCGCCTCGTGCGTCTTGTCGGCCAGACCAGTTGCTCGGATTGGTCTGGCGAGGGCGAGATCGGTTCTTGCATCGATTTCTGCAGATTTTGCAGTAGAGGCGCCGTGGCTTTCGCTCTTCGGTATTGTCGGCGTAGAAGGCGAGCCTCTCACATTCTCGTCGCGGCGCAGGTCGCTGCTGATCCATATCCCTCTGTTCGACGAGAAGGGCGGCGCAAAGGGCGGCCTCCGAGATGACCCCCTGCTGTCGGAGAAGCGCCTTGCAGGGCCGCCACTCTGGGCCGAGCCCTTGAAGCACGATGTTGACGAAGATTTCTTCGGAAATCGAGCTTCCCAGCTTCACGATTTGATCGCGAAGGCTCCGACAGCGATTAAGGTAGTTGTTGACCTTCTCCCCTGCGGTCATCTTAGTTTCCAGGAGTTCCTGGAGTAGTCGGCTCGAAGAGACGGAGTCCTTGGGCTGGTAGACTCCTGTCAGGTGCCGCCAGGCGTTGAGGGCTGGAGCAGCCGAGGTCTTGTATGAACGAATGTTGAGCTGCTCCGCCGGCGACATATTCCGCAGGAGCACCCCGTACGCCATCAGCGATTCGTTGTAATACCTCGCCTTGGCGTCGTCGGTGTCCTCAGCAGGCTCCGCGTAGCTCCCGTCGAAGTAATGGAAGATTTGGGCGTTCTGCAGCAGGAGCTCCAACTCGAAGCTCCAGGTATAAAAATCTCTGCCGTCAAAGCAGGTACTTGTCTTTATTTTTTATATGCTGAGAAACCTTCCTGAGTAGTGTTGGTGGGCCCTTGACCTCAATAGCAGAGTGAATGTAAAATGCTTGAGATAATTAAAACATGCAAACACAAGAAATATAAATATGAGTACAGGGGAATACGAAACGACCTAACTAGCCATGTACTCTAAGGGGTACATTCCCTTATTCAAATGCATCCCCAACCGTGCGGCGCGTACAGTTTCGTAACTGTTCCCGCCAAAACCATCCTGCCTGCAGCTGCCCGATGTCGTCTGCTCCGACGGTCCAGATGTGCTGTAACCGTCCGACGCTTCGATTCAATTCCAACCGTCTGACGCTTCGCGTTCATTCCCGATACTGCGTGCTTCTCTTGCTGCGGTGAGGAGTGCACATTAATAACAAGTATTACTATTTGTAACAGTTTTTTTACCCTGTTTCCATCAGTGTACCAGATTTTTTACCCTAGGAGTCAGGGTTGGCCCACCCTGGAACTCTAATTTGACAGGGTGGGCCAAAACCAATTTGGGCCCTGTCGCCTAGCTAGGTTTTCCCTTATTTAGGCCTCGCTACTTTCATTGTATCGTCATTCGATAGTTCTCATCCTCGTTATTCGATATTCTGTGCACTCTACAAGTTCATTAATAACAAGAGGATACCTTTGTTATGATCTGGACAGGTGGCTTACTTCGCGTGCGATCGAGCTCCATGAGTGTTACCGCAGAGGTGAATGCATTGAGCGTTTCATGTGTGACCATGCGATAGTGTTGCGGGGCAAGGTGTGACTTTCCGTATTAGTGGTGTGTTCATCCACGATGAATTTCCCACATACTGTGACCGTTTGCGATAGCCGAGTGACCATCTGTGATAAACCGGCCATATTTGTGACCAGCCATATAATCTCCCGGGAAAGAAAGCCGTACTGGAGACTTCACCCGATGAAGGCTATCGTTGCGAAAAAAATTGATATGTTCGAAAATCGTGCGTCTCGCGCAAGGGGTCGCACAGGGCTCCACATGTGGTGTCATTGGTTTGGCAAACATTGGGTAACCAAAAATCTAATCGAAGAGTTGCGTTACACTGCCGCGAAATCGGAGTGCGTCATCGCCGTTCCTTACAAGCGAACTACCAAGCTGGTTAAAACCATCCCGAATTCGACCATCTTATTCCGACCGCCCCCCATGATATCCGCATTCTGCTATGCATCACGATCACCAGACGACAATCCTTTAGGCAGATATGGAGGTCACATGTAGCGGCGAGCAGAGCGACTTCGTATTATATTATTGATCAGGTGACCAGTAAGTCCGTTCAGTGGGGCATGGCTCTTGAAATTCGATTCCGTATCCCCAATGGCTTGGCGTGTCGCCGATCTGACCACCATCACAGCAGCGACGCACGTTCCGATGACAGCCGATGCGATCAACCATCAGTATCGTCCCACGTGGACGTCCGCGTCGCTGCCTCGCCCGAGGAGCCTCTCCGATCTGTCTTCACCCGCCTGTTCCAATCGCATTTGCGCCACTGCTGCTTGCCGTGCGATGCACGTCCGGCACCGCGAAGAAACGATGAGTATCCGTGCGAGGCAGCGCACGTGCAGCGACGAGGCGACGATGGCGTGAAATCCGCTGAGGCAACTGAGGCGGTGCGTGGGACGCAGGCGGTGCGGTTCATGGTGGTAGGGCAGGTGGTGTACCTGTCACCTGACTGCACCGTGACGCAAGCCAAGCTCAAACCCACTTGCACCATCAAGGTGCTTCCCGTGAAGCCAGTGCGTGGAGGTGGAGACGGGAAGCGCAACGACGGGCTTTACACAGCGTGAATGCTCCTGCCGCTCCACCTGTTGCCATTGTGCCTCCGGTTGTTGCCGCTGCTGCTGCTGCCGCTGCTGCTGCTGAGGTGCCTCCCGTTGTTGCTGCGCTCCCTCCTGCTGCACCAATTGTTTCTCAGCGTCCTGTTCTGGCTGCTCAAGCTGCTGTTCTTCCATCTACTGCTGTGGCTGCACCTGCACCTACTGTTGCTGCTCCGATCCCTGTTGCTGCTGCTGCTGCACGTATTACCGCGACACTTGATTACAGCAAGTGGGACCACATTGGGTCCAGCAGCGACGAGGACGAGGGCGAGGAGACACAGCACAGCGGACAGTCATCAACGACTGCCGCATCCTGCCATGGGGGCCTTTCGGAATTCAAGAAGGAGATTTGGCGTGACCGGCACGAGGTGATGAAGCGCTGGGAATCCCACGTGCACGCAGTTACACAGGCCACGGGGGGGATACGGGGAACGGGAGCTCGGGAAGCACCGGGGAAGCCTCAGCTGCTGAGTCGGGCGGACATGGTTCATTACCTGGACGTGGGGGGGTGGTGGGATGCGGCAGCGTGCGAGTGGTGCTTCCACCACGTGGTCCGCCTTGGACCACAGCGCCCTCTCACCATGCCCACCCTCCACCTCTTCCACTCCCTCCTGCACGTGGAGCAGCCGCGCTGCACGCCCCTTGCGCACCTGAACGTGGTGGGCAGGCGCGTGCTAGAGTATTCCTTTGACGTGCCCGCGTTCGCAACGCACGAGGAGGATGCCGAGGCCTCTAGCGCAGTTCATGTGCAAGTGCACCCACGCCCCCTTCGTGTGCGCGCAAGTGATGCTGCTCGACTGGCTGGCTGAGCCTCGTGTGGGCGTGCTCATGGACCTGGGGAGCATCAGATCGCGCCTGCCTGCCATTCTCGCCATGGGAGATTGCCCGGCTACATCGCCTCTTGCTCCACCTGCTGCTGCTCCAGTGTGGTCGTGCGGCTGGCGCGGCAGCAGCTGCTGGGCTATGTACCGCCGTGCTGTGAGCTTCGCTGCCTTCCCGTGGGGGGGCTCATGGAGGCGTCACATGGGGTTGATGATGGCACTGTGTGGGAGGAGTGAATGTGATGGCGGGGCTGTGTGGGAGGAGTGAATGTGATGGCGGGGATGTGTGGGAGGAGTGAATGTGATGGCGGGGATGTGTGGGCGGAGTGAATGTGATGGCGGGGATGTGTGGGAGGAGTGAATGTGATGGCGGGGATGTGTGGGAGGAGTGAATGTGATGGCGGGGATGTGTGGGAGGAGTGAATGTGATGGCGGGGATGTGTGGGAGGAGTGAATGTGATGGCGGGGATGTGTGGGAGGAGTGAATGTGATGGCGGGGATGTGTGGGAGGAGTGAATGTGATGGCGGGGATGTGTGGGAGGAGTGAATGTGATGGCGGGGATGTGTGGGAGGAGTGAATGTGATGGCGGGGATGTGTGGGAGGAGTGAATGTGATGGCGGGGATGTTGTGGAGGAGTGAATGTGATGGCGGGGATGTGTGGGAGGAGTGAATGTGATGGCGGGGATGTGTGGGAGGAGTGAATGTGATGGCGGGGATGTGTGGGAGGAGTGAATGTGATGGCGGGGATGTGTGGGAGGAGTGAATGTGATGGCGGGGATGTGTGGGAGGAGTGAATGTGATGGCGGGGAGGTGTGGGGAGGAGTGAATGTGATGGCGGGGATGTGTGGGAGGAGTGAATGTGATGGCGGGGATGTGTGGGAGGAGTGAATGTGATGGCGGGGATGTGTGGGAGGAGTGAATGTGATGGCGGGGATGTGTGGGAGGAGTGAATGTGATGGCGGGGATGTGTGGGAGGAGTGAATGTGATGGCGGGGATGTGTGGGAGGAGTGAATGTGATGGCGGGGATGTGTGGGAGGAGTGAATGTGATGGCGGGGCTGTGTGGGAGGAGTGAATGTGATGGCGGGGGTGTGTGGGGGGGGGGCGGAGTGATGTGCTGGCGGGGATGTGTGGGCGGAGTGAATGTGGGCGGGGATGTGTGGGCGGCGTGAATGTGATGGCGGGGATGTGTGGGAGGAGTGAATGTGATGGCGGGGATGTGTGGGGGAGTGAATGTGATGGCGGGGATGTGTGGGAGGAGTGAATGTGATGGCGGGGATGTGTGGGAGGAGTGAATGTGATGGCGGGGATGTGTGGGAGGAGTGAATGTGATGGCGGGGATGTGTGGGAGGAGTGAATGTGATGGCGGGGATGTGTGGGAGGAGTGAATGTGATGGCGGGGATGTGTGGGAGGAGTGAATGTGATGGCGGGGATGTGTGGGAGGAGTGAATGTGATGGCGGGGATGTGTGGGAGGAGTGAATGTGATGGCGGGGATGTGTGGGAGGAGTGAATGTGATGGCGGGGATGTGTGGGAGGAGTGAATGTGATGGCGGGGATGTGTGGGAGGAGTGAATGTGATGGCGGGGATGTGGGGAGGAGTGAATGTGATGGGGGGATGTGTGGGAGGAGTGAATGTGATGGCGGGGATGTGTGGGAGGAGTGATGTGATGGCGGGGATGTGTGGGAGGAGTGAATGTGATGGCGGGGATGTGTGGGAGGAGTGAATGTGATGGCGGGGATGTGTGGGAGGAGTGAATGTGATGGCGGGGATGTGTGGGAGGAGTGAATGTGATGGCGGGATGTGTGGGAGGAGTGAATGTGATGGCGGGGATGTGTGGGAGGAGTGAATGTGATGGCGGGGATGTGTGGGAGGAGTGAATGTGATGGCGGGGATGTGTGGGAGGAGTGAATGTGATGGCGGGGATGTGTGGGAGGAGTGAATGTGATGGCGGGGATGTGTGGGAGGAGTGAATGTGATGGCGGGGATGTGTGGGAGGAGTGAATGTGATGGCGGGGATGTGTGGGAGGAGTGAATGTGATGGCGGGGCTGTGTGGGCGGAGTGAATGTGATGGCGGGGATGTGTGGGAGGAGTGAATGTGATGGCGGGGATGTGTGGGGGAGTGAATGTGATGGCGGGGATGTGTGGGAGGAGTGAATGTGATGGCGGGGATGTGTGGGAGGAGTGAATGTGATGGCGGGGATGTGTGGGAGGAGTGAATGTGATGGCGGGGATGTGTGGGAGGAGTGAATGTGATGGCGGGGATGTGTGGGAGGAGTGAATGTGATGGCGGGGATGTGTGGGAGGAGTGAATGTGTGATGGCGGGATGTGTGGGAGGAGTGAATGTGATGGCGGGGATGTGTGGGAGGAGTGAATGTGATGGCGGGGATGTGTGGGAGGAGTGAATGTGATGGCGGGGATGTGTGGGAGGAGTGAATGTGATGGCGGGGATGTGTGGGGAGGAGTGAATGTGATGGCGGGATGTGTGGGGAGTGAATGTGATGGCGGGGATGTGTGGGAGGAGTGAATGTGATGGCGGGGATGTGTGGGAGGAGTGAATGTGATGGCGGGGATGTGTGGGAGGAGTGAATGTGATGGCGGGGATGTGTGGGAGGAGTGAATGTGATGGCGGGATGTGTGGAGGAGTGAATGTGATGGCGGGGATGTGTGGGAGGAGTGAATGTGATGGCGGGGATGTGTGGGAGGAGTGAATGTGATGGCGGGGATGTGTGGGAGGAGTGAATGTGATGGCGGGGATGTGTGGGAGGAGTGAATGTGATGGCGGGGATGTGTGGGAGGAGTGAATGTGATGGCGGGGATGTGTGGGAGGAGTGAATGTGATGGCGGGATGTGTGGGAGGAGTGAATGTGATGGCGGGGATGTGTGGGAGGAGTGAATGTGATGGCGGGGATGTGTGGGAGGAGTGAATGTGATGGCGGGGATGTGTGGGAGGAGTGAATGTGATGGCGGGGATGTGTGGGAGGAGTGAATGTGATGGCGGGGATGTGTGGGAGGAGTGAATGTGATGGCGGGGATGTGTGGGAGGAGTGAATGTGATGGCGGGGATGTGTGGGAGGAGTGAATGTGATGGCGGGGATGTGTGGGGGGGGGGGGGGCGAATGGGGGGGGTGGTGGGGGATGTGTGGGAGGAGTGAATGTGATGGCGGGGATGTGTGGGAGGAGTGAATGTGATGGCGGGGATGTGTGGGAGGAGTGAATGTGATGGCGGGGATGTGTGTGGGAGGAGTGAATGTGATGGCGGGGATGTGTGGGGAGGAGTGAATGTGATGGCGGGGATGTGTGGGAGGAGTGAATGTGATGGCGGGGATGTGTGGGAGGAGTGAATGTGATGGCGGGGATGTGTGGGAGGAGTGAATGTGATGGCGGGGATGTGTGGGAGGAGTGAATGTGATGGCGGGGATGTGTGGGAGGAGTGAATGTGATGGCGGGGATGTGTGGGAGGAGTGAATGTGATGGCGGGGATGTGTGGGAGGAGTGAATGTGATGGCGGGGATGTGTGGGAGGAGTGAATGTGATGGCGGGGATGTGTGGGAGGAGTGAATGTGATGGCGGGGATGTGTGGGAGGAGTGAATGTGATGGCGGGGATGTGTGGGAGGAGTGAATGTGATGGCGGGATGTGTGGGAGCGTGAATGTGATGGCGGGGATGTGTGGGGAGGAGTGAATGTGATGGCGGGGATGTGTGGGAGGAGTGAATGTGATGGCGGGGATGTGTGGGAGGAGTGAATGTGATGGCGGGGATGTGTGGGAGGAGTGAATGTGATGGCGGGGGGGTGTGGGAGGAGTGAATGTGATGGCGGGGATGTGTGGGAGGAGTGAATGTGATGGGGGGATGTGTGGGAGGAGTGAATGTGATGGCGGGGATGTGTGGGAGGAGTGAATGTGATGGCGGGGATGTGTGGGAGGAGTGAATGTGATGGCGGGGATGTGTGGGAGGAGTGAATGTGATGGCGGGGATGTGTGGGAGGAGTGAATGTGATGGCGGGGATGTGTGGGAGGAGTGAATGTGATGGCGGGGATGTGTGGGAGGAGTGAATGTGATGGCGGGGATGTGTGGGGAGTGAATGTGATGGCGGGGATGTGTGGGAGGAGTGAATGTGATGGCGGGGATGTGTGGGAGGAGTGAATGTGATGGCGGGGGGATGTGTGGGAGGAGTGAATGTGATGGCGGGCTGTGTGGGAGGAGTGAATGTGATGGCGGGGATGTGTGGGAGGAGTGAATGTGATGGCGGGGATGTGTGGGAGGAGTGAATGTGATGGCGGGGATGTGTGGGAGGAGTGAATGTGATGGCGGGGATGTGTGGGAGGAGTGAATGTGATGGCGGGGATGTGTGGGAGGAGTGAATGTGATGGCGGGGATGTGTGGGAGGAGTGAATGTGATGGCGGGGATGTGTGGGAGGAGTGAATGTGATGGCGGGGATGTGTGGGAGGAGTGAATGTGATGGCGGGGATGTGTGGGAGGAGTGAATGTGATGGCGGGGATGTGTGGGAGGAGTGAATGTGATGGCGGGGATGTGTGGGAGGAGTGAATGTGATGGCGGGGATGTGTGGGAGGAGTGAATGTGATGGCGGGGATGTGTGGGAGGAGTGAATGTGATGGCGGGGATGTGTGGGAGGAGTGAATGTGATGGCGGGGATGTGTGGGAGGAGTGAATGTGATGGCGGGGATGTGTGGGAGGAGTGAATGTGATGGCGGGGATGTGTGGGAGGAGTGAATGTGATGGCGGGGATGTGTGGGAGGAGAATGTGATGGCGGGGATGTGTGGGAGGAGTGAATGTGATGGCGGGGATGTGTGGGAGGAGTGAATGTGATGGCGGGGATGTGTGGGAGGAGTGAATGTGATGGCGGGGATGTGTGGGAGGAGTGAATGTGATGGCGGGGATGTGTGGGAGGAGTGAATGTGATGGCGGGGATGTGTGGGAGGAGTGAATGTGATGGCGGGGGTGTGGGAGGAGTGAATGTGA